GTTGTTTTTGGCCCCACGACCAAAACTCAGCAAATTTTCCAAGTAAGCTCTGTAGGGATAATTGGGTAAGGATGCAGTCACCAACGTGTCGGAATCTTTTCCTAGGCGCATTTTCACATCTTTAAACAAAGAGTGAAAGAAATTGTTGACGGGTCCGACTTTTTTATTCGCACCGACATTCGTCCCATCCTCTTTGACTACTTTCAACTTCAGGTACAAACTAATGTTGGCCAAGTCGATGAAATCTGTACTTGAATTAGGAATCAAAAATTCCAAGGGACCATCATGGTTCAAATCGCTGGTCAGTGGATATTTGCGGACTTTGGTTACTTTGGTAACGGCTGTTTGAGTGTCAGGAACGGTAAACAGTTGTTGTAATTCATCAGGAGCACAGGGACAGGAATCATTACGCATCATTGAAGCCATGATCGAAGATATCTTTCTTTCTTCTCTTTCGTTTGATGTTGACAGATCGAGCTGCAGATGACTTTGTCCGCTTTCGTGGTGGTTGTCGGTCTTTTATACCTACGACAACATTCTTCAAAGTTTCCGACACCGTCGATTTCAAAGCAGGTTTGACGGCATCTTGAACAATGTTTTTCCATCCACTCTTGACGGTTTCTTTGCCTTGGACAACTTTCAACACCTCTTTTCCAACTTGTGGGAGATTTTCTTTTATCGCTTTTTTACCCGCACTCCATAAAGATTTGCCTGCCATCACAGCCCCTTTTTTGACCATGTTCATTAAACCGGACAAAAATCCGGACCCTCGTTGTCTGAGCACACCGCCACGATACACTCGAATGTTACCTCTTCCCAACAATGTCATTTTCTCTTTCTAAAGTGAAGCTTGGCCACCACTTTTCCTCGCACAAATGGTACGGGTCTTCCATGTCCGGTCCTTATATACATGCCGATGGCCGTCAGGCGATCGTACTTGATCGGAACGTAATGTATGGCTGATGGACGAAAGTATCCTGTTTTACTGTGAAACACATCCAAGATTGGAGTCACCGCATCACCAACACGCTGTGGTTCCACAATATCCGAATACAAGTAAAACATATCAAAGGCCATATCCACAGCAGGCTGAAAAGGAGCAGTCATTTTGGCATCGCGGATGTTTCGTCGACATAATTTATCCAACTGAAATTCTTGCGAAAAGTCAGACCATCCTAACATACCAACCCATGGGTCCTTCAATTGGAAACTGATG